CATAGTCAAGGTTTGCAGGGCGGCCTCGATGATGGTACTGACGCCGACATCGACATCGATGGCACCGGCACCGATGGCGGTGCCGAGACCGGTGGGGAAGGTACCGGCGCCGAAGCCGCTAACGAAAAGAAGAAGCAGAGGATACGAAAACCTAACAAACTCGGCATCGAACGACTGCTGATCACAAAGATGGCCCCTGGCAAGTTTGAGCCATTAGAGCCGGATGAACCTCGCAAGTGCTACGGGAACCAACTCGGATGCATCCTACAGGAAACCGCAAGCATCAACGATGATGACTTAAGGGGTAAAAAACATTTGAAGCAGTTGCTCCTAACGAAGCTGCACAAGAGATTCCAGTTCCCCGACCGGGATGACCGCATAGAACACCCGTGGGATGACCCGAAGATGAAAAAGATTAACAATCACGCCATGGACATGTTCAGCAATGATTTGGCCTCCTAAAAAGGGAGGGTGAAACGAGCTATTGATGCTAAAGAACCCCCGTCCAAAATTCTGGAGGACAATTCAACACCTACGGAAGAGATCCAAAAGTTCAAGGACACTTGCACTACCGCCGCAGTCAAGTCTAAGGCTGAGAAATTCAAGGGGCTTCAGCAAAGTAACACGGGGAACCAATGCCTCGTAAGTCGTGGGTACCTTGGCAAAAGGCCCATATGGGATAAGAAGGACGAGGAACGTGAAGCCGTGGGGATCCCAGGCCCCTTCGCGAAGTTCACCGCCTCCTTGGAACGTGACTTCATCAGGGGGTACAAGTGGGACAAGGAAAAGAAGGTTTTTTACACGGACCCGATCACAAGGAAATTGATTAGAATACTGGTAATTATTCTTTACCACCTTACATTTATTTAGCTTCTGATCAAGTCGACTACACATTCGTAAACGATTCACGTTCCTTTTGCAGGAGAAGCAATACAGACTTATAGCCGAAAGCGAGTCTTCGTCGATGAGGCCCAAGTGGGACACCCCTCTCAACTCGGCTTTGAACAAACTGAAGGGACTCCCTTTGGACCAGCAGCCGCAATATGGACGTGTGCACGGCGCCAGAGACAACGCCACGTGGAAGATCTTTTACAACGAGGGCCCGGAGGCCAAGAAACAGAAAAAGAAGTTCAGTTAGACGGACATCGACGAGAAGGTGAAGCTTGCGTTTGAAAAAAAAAAGAAGCTGGGGACGCAAAAAAAAGTTGTAGCTGCCTGTAGAAATGATTTTGATACTAACTTGATCCCGGCTATCATCAACTGGACGAAGGAAAGTCCAGACAAGACGGCAAATGATTTTCCCATGCCCAGCTTCGTCGGGAGCAACTCGGTGAACATCAAAACCGCACCATCACCTGCTCACGCAACCGCGCCTGCTCCCGCACCCGCGCCCGCACCCACACCCGCACCCGCTCATAGCAGTCCATCCTCTGTCTCTGGCACGCTAGGCGGGCCTTCGTCTTTGGCTGAGCTCGACGCCCTCACGGTAATTACACGTTGCACCAACATATATCTAGAATATTCTGTTTGCGTTGCCTTTCGGATGTTTTACGCCGCAGACATGTCTTTCCAGGCCGACGAAACCCCATGCACCGTACTCTACATGATCAAAGGCTAGAAGGTGGACATGGGAAAGGCGGTGATAACGAAGCCCTTGGAACTCACATTCCATGGCCAACCGATCCCCGGTGGCCACTTCAGGGTTACCTTGTCGAGTGTGAAATCGGGACACGAGCATTTGCCTCCTCCAGTACGGCTCGGGGGAGAGGAGGACGAGACCCCGATGCGGCTTGGAAACTGCAAGGTTTGGATGCTGCTATGGCCGAAGAATCTTCTTCGTCTGGAGGCGGCCGAGAGCACACCAATAACCACATATTAGCAAGTAGGTATGAACACCACCAACCCGCCTACGCAATTACCAGCGCCTGTAGTGCCGGATGAGAGTAGCGGACGATGCGAGGAAGGGGGTCCAATAGCGGACCCCGTAAAACAAAGAATGGATGATGAGATGGACGAGGATGACCCTCTTCGGTTCCTCAATACAGGCGCCTATGACGACAACGTAGAAATGATGAGTCAGCCATATGATGACTCGGGCTATCAGCATGCCGATGAGGAGATGGATGATGTGCCCGGGCATGAACGTCCTAGGGTTGATTGCAAGAAATCTCTCTTCATGCAATCCTCACAAGACACGCCTGAAGATGCCGCCTCAACGTAGGCTCAACTAGCCGAGGGTCATATAGTGCTTAGCCCGACAACACTGGTGGAGGGGTTAAGGAAGGGTCTGGAAGGTCAGCCCAAGAAAAAGGAGAGGAAGAAACAGCCGAAGAAAGGCTTTGCTGCCTACAAACAAGCCAGAGCACATAGCAGCCAGACGGCGGATTTTGCAGAGTGTGTACCCGTCAAAGGTGCGGCCATGTTCCATGTCGCGGGCGAGCAGATCCTACCGCCGAAACCGCTGGCGGCCATATCAGGAGATCTCAGGACACTGCACGACCATGTGTTGTCGACTGAGATAAGCCTACTAGCCTCGAAGGATCCAGGATATCCGCTATACGCGGTTCGTGTGCCTGAGGGGAAGTTCTACGTCAACACACGACCCACGGAGGTGGTTCTTCCTGCGGTTTGAGCATATCTTCGAGATGTTTTTGACAAGGTGGCTCGATTTTACAATCGTCCGCCTTTTTGTGCTACATATGAACTCCGTCATCACGAGAGAACAAGTCTCGCAAATCTGTGTGGCGTATCCAAACTAGATGCACGAGTCCTTGAGTCTCGGCGACTATGAGTGTAAAACTGCTAGGGAGTACCTCGAAAACTTCATGATAAGGAATAAGGACCAAGAAATTGTCGTCCTGCATTATCATCCAAAGTAAGTCAGTGCCGAAAAACCCTTTCGTACATTTCAATCATTCCTTCTCGCTCATATGGAAAATAATTTGAGGTGTTTTTTTCCCTGCAGCAACGGACGCGCCATCTTTATCGTTCTTTACCCGCGAGTCTCTCACGCCGTGTATTTCGACCCTACCAGAAACTACGAGAAGGACTACACCCACGTAATGAATATTCTAGATGATGCTCTCCACGGCTTCAGCTTGAGGGGTGGCCACCTGCAAATCAGGAAACAAAGGAACCGCAGGTCGGGTTTCTCACATAAAACTAACTTCTGCTGCATCCATGTCCCGAAACCAAGCAGGAACGATGGACTCTACCTCCTCCATCTCATGATGGAGTTCAAAAGGGATCACCAACAGCTTCGCACGACAACCAAAAGCGATGATCATATCCACAAGTGAGTAGAATCCCAAGGAGAAGCGGATTATAAACTTAAAGATGACTTCTTTCGCATCCAGAGGGACATTGCGAAGATCATCATGAAAGAAATCGTCGAAGAGAAGGGATGTTCCACCACGGCCCTATATCACAAGCTGACGTCCGAACTCGCATAGGCATGCAACGTCAGGACCTCACGCCGCTCAAGAAGCTAGGGTGCATCCTCGATGATATGGATGGATGGAACTTGTAGTAATTTACAATGCCGATGATGATGATATGTGTCGATTGAACTTGTATACTTTCTGTAGCGATGAAACTTTGCGATGTCCACGGTCCCTGCCGAACTTGTGTAATGCTACTTTGTTAGTTTGGGTACGATGATCTGCGTACCTCTAGTTAATTAGTTTGCGTACGATGAAACTGCATTGATTATTTATGTTTACTATATGCTGCATCTATTTGCCAACCCTTTCTTTTCGTGTTGCTCAAATATATTTTGATGCATATAATTGTACATTCTCCTGATGAAGATGCATCTCTAACAGGTACCTAGATCCTTGATGGCGAAAAAGCAGTGCTATGTCGTGTACATAGGGAAGGTTCCGAGAGTGTACGACGAGTGGCCCGAGTGTCAGGCGCAAGTGGAGCGATTCTCGGGCACCAGCCATAAAGGGTTCAAAAGCAGACAAGAAGCAGAAGATAGTTACTTGAGGTTCTCGTACATATATATTTGTTTGTTTGTTTGTTGCAGGCTGTTGAAGAATTGTGGTGTGATACCTACCATACCACTCACATGGCGTGTATGTTGCGACGTGCACGTTGTGTTTGGTGGGACAGCTCCCGAGGTGTTACAATGACTACAGTCATATTCCTTGCAATAACTTACTTCTCTCTTGGAATTGTAGCTCATAGGTACTCCCCATTCGCGACTCATACACGGATCATCCTTGCAAGCTTCTTTCTCCTGACTTGCCATCAAACTATGTGTCTATAATTTAGATCATCCACTTTGCTGCCTGATGAACCTTCCTCGTCCATTGATCTGTCCTGATCTCGTAACGTCCCCATGGTCAGCGCGAGCTATCAAGGTATTTTACTTTTACGTCACAGCAGTACTAGAGAGAGTACGTGGAATTTGTGGTTGAGGGGACATCACGTGAGGAAACCAAGGGGTCTTGGACAAAGAACACAAAAGACACAATATATACCCAGGTTCAGGCGTCCAAGATGGATAAAAGCCGTACTTCCTGCCTTGCTTCTCCTTTATATATGGAAATCTTCCACGTGGTGTAGGCTAAACTAGGCGAAAGGAGCAGATCCCCTTATATGGTGCCCCTTATATAGCTCCGGTTATGGTAGACTCCATGTCAGTGCACGATGGCATACAGGAATAGGAGTCAGGTGTGGTGTTGGTTTACAACACGTAACATTCTATCGTACAATGTTTTCCTT